TAAAGAAGGAAATGCAGCATGAGTACCTGCATGATTCTTGTTGGCCGATTTGATCTTTGATATAATAAGGTTGTCAAGTTTCAAAAAGAAGTATTTGGTGATCAGAGAAAATTTAGGTCTAATGAGGTCTAACAATTGACCTCTTATTATCCCAACGAACAAAGTTTGGTAGGGATATAGTGAAGCCCTACGTCTGTCCGTCAGTATTTATTTATTACAAGTCAGTCCATCCGTCTGGAAGATAACTCAAGTACTAGTGGATGGATATTATTCATATTTGGTGGAAAGATGTATATTGGTAACTAGTTATACGCAACCAAAAAATTTCCAAGATGGCTGCCGCTTTTAAAATGGTGGGAAATTTTCGTTAAAATCTTAAGTTTTTCTTTTTAAACCAAAGTAATAAATATAATTGTCCGAAATTTTGGCAGTATATTCACAGAATGTATCTATTTCATATATATTCCGAGTTTTTCACCATGACCACCAGGGGCCATGTATGAGGGTCTGGAAAATGGGAATTGCGTTAATTTTAACAATTTTCTAAAGCATAGCTTTATTAGCCCGCAATTAAAAGGCAATTTAGAATAGATTGCAAATATTGTATCATTTTCTGATCCCTTTGAAGTATGGCTATATTATACTCAAATTGAAGGAAGTTTAAGGTAGATCATTACTATGGTTTTGTCTTTCTGATTTGTGGCTCAGAAAATTCAAAATGGCTATACCAACAGGAATTTGCATTAATTTTGAGATCTTTCTGAAGTAAAGCTTTATTATACTCAAATGAAAGGCAATTTAGAGTAGATTGCAAATATTGTATCGGTTTTGTAATTTTGGCCTCGTAAAATTCAAAATGGCCACCGCCTTATGTGGAATTTTGCAACAATTTTCTGATCTCTTCAAAGTTATGGCTATTAATTATTCTCAAATTGAAGGAAGTTTAGGGCAGATCACTATTTTGGTATTGTTTTCCTGATTTGTGCCTCCGAAAATTTAAATTGTCTTTATTAATTGTGACAACTCTTTGCTACTCTGTGTGGTTACCATTTTCTAGTTATGTTACACATAGTGGTATATACCTGTTTAGTACAAATGTGTCATGTCATCTTATAGTATACTGGGAGTATACTTATATTTATAACCACATACTGTATGTTCCTGTTGCTCTGACTTCCAGATTGTCATGCATTTCATCTCTTATTTCTGTTGCTATGGTGATATTAATTACATAGTGGTACAGCTGGTACATGCAGATAGATGCACTGTTATATGATACTTACCTGTGTACTATATACAAGGATTGTATAATTGCAGATTTGTTATTTGAAGGTAGTCTGGCACATAGGGGGTGGCAAAAGTGCAAGTTACATGTATATTATTTAACCAATATTATCTAAAAAGATTATATTAAATGGTGCATGGATTTGTATAAATTTATCAAAATACATAAATGAAACCTTTATAATCAATGATTACCATGTAAGTTAAAATCTATGATATGTTTACAAGTTACATGTATATTCAACATTATGTATTAACGAATGGTGCATGGATTTGTATAAAATCAAAATAAATAAATGAAATATAACATTTATGGATTAATCAATGATTACCATGTTATTGTTAACATCTATGATATGTTTACATTAATTGGGATGGCCTCCTGTTAATGTTTACTTCCCCTCCGTTCAATTTAAGTTATTTTCGAATATTTTTTATATAACATATATATAATAGGATTTTATTAATACTGATGCCCTTTTAGGGCCAAACGTACATCCAATATACAATTTTCAATAACAGTAAATATAGCAATAAAGTAAAGAAAATAGGATTACATTCTCCAAATGACATACAAAATGTATTGAAGCATTGAAGTTAATTTGTGATAATAATGTCACTTATAAGAATTTATTTATTAGAGGTCATGCAAACCATTGTTGCTTCATTTATAGCAAAAACATAGACTTTTCCATGTTGGTGACAATGCGCCCTTTTTAATAGATCTCATATCTAAGAAGCGTATTGGTTTAAAAAATTCCTGAAAGACCTATATTTTACCATACAATAACCCAATTCATTTAGCAATTCAATAGTAAATTTTCTCTAGAAAAAGAAATCTTCCAGATTTGTTGAATTTTCTAGCAGGAATCGCTTGCTCCCCCCCCCCTCGTTCATTTTGTCATTGAACATGTTATATATAGGTACTAATATTAATATACACTGCAGCTATAGTCCATGGGCTATCAATTACCATGTGGTTATTGTACGCTATATGATTCCTAAGTAGTTCCCATTCCAATTACCAGTACCTGTGTACATTGAAGTGTATATCTTCCCAGTTCTTCCATGTGAAAATTACCATAGTTTACACTTCAGCTTCTCTTTCCATCACAGAATTGGAAAAAGAAAATATGGGTTAAAGAAGATATGACGTGAGATGTGATGAATATGTAAGCTTAAGTGCCTACGGGAAACCACCAAAAATGTTAACAGAACGCAGCAAGAAAAAGAAAACATCTATGAGTACACCAGTTATAAGGAAAACAAACCCTAACTATCACAAATCATAATCTAACATGAAAAGAAACAGTGAATTATCCCCCCACCATTGAAGTACTAGTACCATTATATTGAAAGAGAAAAATGGAATATGAAACCTCATTTTATTTCACAAAGGAAACATTTCATAAAGTAGATTTTCAGATGACCCAAAAGGTCCTAATAAACAGAAAAAATAAAACATATTCTTCAACATGTATCGTAATGACTTCAGTATGAAGAAATATCCCATGTATTATGGTCTCAGATTGTGATATTGTTGATATTTGAATAGTGAGGGGGAATTAGACAATGTTTCTTTTCACATTGATTTTAGATAATTGGGGTTTAATTTCCTTATGACTGGTGTACACTTAGATGTAACTTTTTCTAGCTATGTTCCGTAACCATTTTTGGTATTATCCCATTAGCCCTTGCGTTTATATAACAATGACTAGGGACTTAACCTTCACATTTATTGAACTGCTTTTAATTATGTTGTTAAACCCATTTATTTACTTGTGTATAAAATGTTCATTGTTCTACTTAAATAATAAAATGTGAATCATTAATAAAATGTAAAATATAAGTATAAAATAAATTAAAATTTATTCATGATTTTTTTTTTTATTTGCAAACCTTTTTGTATAAAACCCATGACAAAACCAAGATATTTTTGCGCAAGTATGATCGATTGATCAGACTTTGACAAATATTTCTCATCTTAAAATTTCCGGTGCTTCAATTAAAGATCCCAATGAATCTGGGCTATTGATCAGTAAATGCAAACAGTGCTTTAATACATGAATAAACACAAGGCAAAATATGTGTCAGTTATTAGGTTAATTGGGATAAGATGCTTGTTTTTCTTTATTAAAAGTACCCTTTTCATGAATGATGTCACATCTTAAAAATAGTTAACTACTTTGCCTCTGAGGGAGATTGAGCCCCAGGGTTATTGAATTATTATCATTATTAAACAGAAATAAATGTGGTATGCATAAAAAAGATTGTTACATTTCTTCGAGGCTATTTTTACTTTTTTTGCCATTCTTACAACATGTGGAGAATGTTACATTTCTTTGAGGCTATTTTTACTATATGTGCTATTCTTATAACATGTGGACAATCGATGTTACATTTCTTTGAGGCTATTTTTACTATATGTGCTATTCTTACAACACGTGGGCGATGTTACATTTCTTTGAGGCTACTTTTACTATATGTGCTATTCTTACAACATGTATACATTTTTTCGAGGCTATTTTGCTATACATATGTATGTGCTATTCTTACAACATGTGGACAATGTTACATTTCTTTGAGGCTATTTTTACTATACATATGTATGTGCTATTCTTACAACATGTGGACAATGTTACATTTCTTTGAGGCTATTTTTACTATATGTGCTATTCTTACAATATGTGGACAATGTTACATTTCTTTGAGGCTACTTTTACTATATGTGCTATTCTTACAACATGTGGACAATGTTACATTTCTTTGAGGCTATTTTTACTATACATATGTATGTGCTATTCTTACAACATGTGGACAATGTTACATTTCTTTGAGGCTATTTTTACTATATGTGCTATTCTTACAATATGTGGACAATGTTACATTTCTTTGAGGCTATTTTTACTATATGTGCTATTCTTACAACATATGGACAATGATTAGTGATATTAATACAGAAGTGTTATTTTGTATCTACCAATACGTTAAACATAAATAGTTATGTTTAGTTTGCAAAGGTGGATTTGGATGATGGTAAACCCGGGTTTTGAGGGCGCATATGCCAACAAGTGCTTCTGGAACTTTGAGAGATCTCCCCTTCTGATTGGTAATCAGCTGTTACACTATGCAAAGAGATAATATTATGTTTCTTATGTATTCAATACCAGACATACTCTACTCATTGATACATATGTACATGTTATTTACACCAAGCCTACTGAGATTAAACCTTGAACAAAATCAATAAAGTCATCAGTCGTTATGAGATGATGATGGGGGTTTAAATTAATCCTTTATTATACATCTCTATTTCGGTTATTTAAGGATTCTTTACAGGGGCTTATAAGCAGTATGCAACAGGAGCAAAAAGTGCATTGATTTTACCAAACTGTCTGTTGTGTTTCCAATACATTCCATGTTAAACTATCTGTTCAAGAAGAAATTCTCAAGATGGCCGCTATTTATCAAAACACTGTTTGGTAAGATTTGCTACGTCGGAGTTTCTGTTTTCTAGTTATGTCACCACCAGGAGTGGTGACATATTGTTATGGTATCCAATTTTTTAATGGACAGTGTTCAGTGGTAGGTGTTTGGCAGTTTGTGTTCGGAGTTTGTAACCAATGACAGGTGGTGACATTTTGCATGTTAATGCTTTGTTAAATCACTCATTCCTATGTATATATTACATACATGTATGCTCTCTTGTTTTGCAGTTTAGTTTATGTTTACAAGTAGGCCTATAGCGTTAAAACCGCTCACATGTATGATGGGAAGTGGTGCGTCCTCATCTCCCATGACATCACCTGAACCTACTGAGGACAGTTCCCAGCCCAACCAACAAATCAGCACTATTACACCGAGTTCACGAAAGAATTCAGGTATATTTTTATTTTAGATTGAGGAATATTGTACAATTCACAGAAAGAACAATTATGAAGCGTTTGTCTACGTTTTCTATTAATTGAGAATGAGCTGAGATTTTGTATTCACTCATCCCTGTCTTAAGTCTCCCTTCTGTGGCTTGTGGCTTGACTTATCTCTAATTCCCTAAGGATCAATTTCTGAAATCATCCAGATTTAATACATATCCCTGAATTCATATTTAATTGCTTTGACTGCTATTCATTTTAGATAGTGTGAAATATTGTTTGTATTTGTATTGACTTGGTATTCAGATTTAATTGCTATAACTGTATTCATGTTAGATAGTGTGAAGTGTTTGTATTTGTATTGACTTGGTATTCAGATTTAATTGCTATAACTGTATTCATGTTAGTACTCAAGGGGCGGGGAGGAAAATTCTCAATAAATGGTGTATAGTTGGTTTGGCAGCATTTTCAGTTAGGGGAGAGTCTTGGATGAAACTTCCACCTAGGTGATAGCTTCACAGAGTGGTAGGAAGTTCTTTTTTTTTAGGAGTTAGCCCCCCACCCCCCAAAAACACCCCACCCGGGGAAAAAATTGTTCACAGTAAATAACCTTAGATATTTTGATGTTTGTAAGTGACATACATAGATATTATATATATGAATCATTTGCAGTATAATTGATGCTGATTGCTCCTAAGGAAATTGAATATTAGTACAAAGTGTGTACCCCAGGGGGCAAATTCGTGACTCATTTTCTTACTATTTTGATCCTAACTTTTCAATTAGACACTGTAAGAGGTTGAAAAAATTCATGGGAAGTGCCCAATAGCAGGGTTGGTAAACCTGAAAGATGCAAAACCATTGAAAAGGTAGGAGCTGAGAAAAAAATTGTTGATTTTTCGAAAAATTTGACATTTTGACAGTTGGATTTTGTGTATGACTATAGCTGACCCCTATAGTTTCTAGATCCATCCCTCTATAATGATATTTATGGTTTTATAGTGTGAAACTAAGATGTAAAACATAATTTAGATGGGTTTTAAGGAAGTTAAAGGTTTTAAACAAGTCCAAAATTTGAAAAATTGTAAATATAAGGTTTAAAATTTACATATTCCAGGTATAGCCATGGCTGACCCCTATAGTTTCTAGATCCATCCCTCTATGATGATATTTATGGTTTTGCCATGTGGAACTAATATGTAAAACACAATTTAGATGGGTTTTAAGAAAGTTTAAGGTTTTAAACAAGTCCAAAATTTGAAAAATTGTGAATATAAGGTTTTAAATTTACGAATTTCAGGTATAGCCATGGCTGACCCTTATCGTTTTTACATCCATACCTCTATGATTAAATATACAGTTTTAGAGTGTGAGACTAAGATTTAACATATCCAAAATGAATTTTAAGGAAGTTTAAGGTTTTAAACAAGTCCGAAATTTGAAAAATTGTAAATGTTAGGTTTCAAATTTATGAATTTCAGGTATAGCCAAAGATGACCCTTATGGTTTTTACATCTATACCTCAGGGATGAAATATATAGTTTTAAGAGTATTTAACTAAAATGTAAAAGATACTTAAGATGAGTTTGAAGGAAGTTCAAGGTTTTAAACAAGTGCAAAATTTGAAAAATTGATCTCAAAATTGGTCTCAAATTCACATTATTCAGGTACAGCCTTGAATGAGCCCTGATAATTGAAGGTTATGAGCATAATAGTATCAACAGTGATATCATAGCTTAGAGATCAGGTGTAGAATATATACCTGTTGCAGCAGTTAGTCTGCTGCATATAGATGGAGTGAAAAGTCGTGAACTACAGTAAAATCTCTCTAATCTGAATGCTACTGGTATTTGGACCAGCTAAAAGCATTCTAATTAGGAGTGTTTGAACAATACAATGTACAATACAAGTTCTGGATTTTGAAGAAATATGAATGCATTCTCAATGAAATATATTAATAATATTAAACTTAATAGCATTCCAAAATCCAATTCAAAAGTTTTGATATCAAAACAATTCAGTGTTAAACTGACAATATTTGTGCAATTTTGTAAGAGATATGTGATATTTGGTAAAAAAAAAAGAGTTCAAGTTAGACAGGTTAATTTTTCAAATATGAGTCTTCACTGTTCGAAGTAAGAGGTATTCAGATTTCAATTTTTTAAACATAGGAGTCAATAGGAGGAAAAATTGGACTGGGAAAGTGTTCAGATTGGTTGGTGTTCAGATTAGTCAGGTGTTGGGATGATTGGTAGGTATTCACAATAGTTAGATGTTGGGATATACAGGTTTCAATAATGATATATCATTTATACAAGATGATGAACTAGAACTACTGTACTAGGTGCATTTGATAATTTTTACCACAATGTTAATACAATGTCAGGAAAAGAAAGCACCCATGACACTTTGCTTGTACAACTTGAAAATCAACAACACTTTAAGATTTGATAAAGGTATCTACCAAATGAGTAATCCACATAAATTCAAATACAAGCACTTGGCATGCTATTCCCTATGATGCTATTTATAGATTTTTAGTCAATGTTATTGATCAGCTTATTGGTTTCATTACTTTCTCTAGAATCTAAAATTGACCTTGGGTTTATGAGAGTAGTAAATTGGAATGCAGTTATATGGAGTATTGAATAAACTATGATCTTATATGGATACAAACAGTTCGTTTGACAATGATCATCTATCTTATCTGTAAAATCAGAACTTAATAGAAAGGGGTTTGAAATGGAGATCGATGTAACCATACCACAAACTGATAAAACTTTCGTGATCGATGCAATGGCTATGACAAAAGGAAAATTAAGATGAACTTATATGTTGAAATTTGGAGAATTTTGGAAAGCTATATCTGACTACTCCATCAAATCTAGTAAAGGAGCCCAAAGAATAGATTTCATAGTAGACTCCATCAGTAAAGGATTCTGAAAGAATGCGAAGAATGGATGCTTCCCCTACTGAACTTTAATTCAAAGAAGAAATTACACCATTACCTAAAAATATGAATACCCTTAGGCCAAGTCATATAGTACAAATTTTCAAAGATTACAAAGAAATTCAATAAAGCAGCATTCTAAAAGTGTGCCAAATGTCAAGATTGTTTTAGTAGAACTATTGGAGAGAACTCAAATATCTGTGAAAATGATAACTGAAATCCCCTGTTTAATTCCACTCTTGAAGAGGCTGATTTTAAACTTATTCACTCTGTTTACATTCAGCAGGAGAACATGTGGGACTGCAGTAATTTGCATCAAATGATGCTGATTTTCTAATTTTATGACTATCATTTCATTAAATGTAAAAAATTCTTCTACTGCTAGAAAATGTCATCTGCAAAGTCAGTATGTAGACATTTTCTACAATGTCTGTTTGTTTGAAACATATTGATCATATATCACCATAGTATACTTTTTGATCTACATGAAGATTTTAGTGTGACAAGACCCTTTTATCCTGGAGTTCCTAATCTCATTGCACTAACGGGAGTTTCTAGGCCCAGCGGGGTATGATCCTTAAAATCCTTATTTTCCCAAATAATTACTGTTGCCTGATGACAAGTTGTTTTATTGGGAGTGTAGTATTATAATTTGATAATTTATAATAATATTTTGTATTAGGAGATGATCATTGCTTAATTACAGTATGGGCATAACAAAATATAGAGAAATCATGTTTCTTTTAATTAACCATGTCTTTATGTATTTTGACAATGTAGAACATTACATCGAACATTTTGATGTGAAAAAGTAAAAATGCTATATCACATAATAAATATCATCAAATAATAATTAATTAGTTATAATCCATTTAATCAATCAATTACTACACTGTATACGATATCCCTAAGAGCAGTTACACTTTAGGGGGGGGGGGGATTTATTAACCTCTCACCCCCTTAGGAACTCTAGGATAAGGTCCTCAACTCTAATGATTTTTCTTTTAACAATACTTGTAACATGGATCAAACCTGACCACAATATTTTCAACATCTAATTTCTAGGCTAAAAAGTCATACATTCAAAAAGAGAGACATCCAAGGCAATACCTGAAATCGTAAAGGAGGACTGAAAGTATCGCATCAGATTTAGGACAGTCACGTGTTGGATTTTTGCTATTTTCTGAGGATTTGAGGAGGTGCATATGTTAGGCCAATGCATTTCCTCCAGGAAAAGCACTCATAGAGATGATAAAATAATTTCTATTTGAGACAGGGTGCAAACAACCCACCCACATGCATCAATATGTTGTGTTTTGACACACAGTTAACCCCTTTATAGAAATAATGCATTCCATCAGGGGTTTAAAAGATATCAAATATGGTTGACCAAAATTAAGCTGAAAGTAATGGAGCACATGAGTTTTCCCTATGGGAAAATAACAGGAAAATATTGTTTTCTGCTTTATCTAAAAGAAATTTATTATTCCTTTTTATGGGTAAACTATGTCTCAAAACGCAACATATTGATGCAACAAAAATTGAAAAAGCAGGGGTAAAAGGGCTTGAAAATCAGGACAACATTTCCGAAAAAACATGTGGGTGGATTGTTTGCACCTTCGCTGTCTCAAAGTCCAAACTATTTTATCATCTCTAAGAGTTCTTTTCCCGTAGGTTATGCAATGGCCTATCATATGCACCTGCTTAGATCCTCAGGAAACAGACAAAATCTAACATATGACTGTCTGAAATATGTTGCGATACTTTCCGTGCTCCTTTGAGACCTGATATTTCTCAATTTTTCAAACATTGCACTTGTTAAAATTCTTAAACTTCCTTAAAATTCATCTTCGGTATGTTTTACTTCTTGGTTTCACACTCTAAAAATATATGTTTCATGTTTAAAATCTTTAACTTCCTTAAAACCCATCTAAATTATGTTCTACATCTTTAGTTCCATATTACAAAACCATAAATATCACCAAAGAGGGATGGATTTAGAAACTATAGGGGTCAGCCATGGCTATACCTGGAATTCATAAATTTGAAACCTTATATTTACAATTTTTCAAATTTTGGACTTGTTTAAACCTTTAACTTCCTTAAAACCCATCTAAACTATGTTTTACATCTTAGTTCCACACTATAAAACCATAAATATCATCATAGAGGGATGGATCTAGAACCTATAGGGATCAGCCATGGTTATACCTGGAATTCGAAAATTTGAAACCTTATATTTACAATTTTTCAAATTTTGAACTTGTTTAAAACCTTTAACTTCCTTAAAACCCATCTAAATTATGTTTTACATCTTAGTTCCACACTATAAAACCATAAATATCATCATAGAGGGATGGATCTAGAACCTATAGGGGTCAGCCATGGTTATACCTGAAATTCGTAAATTTGAAATCTTATATTAACAATTTTTCAAATTTTGGACATGTTTAAAACCTTTAACTTCCTTAAAACCCATCTAAATTATGTTTTACATCTTAGTTCCACACTATAAACTATAAATATCATCATAGAGGGATAAATCTAGAAACTATAGGGGTCAGCCATGGCTATACCTGGAATTCGTAAATTTGAAACCTTATATTTACAATTTTTCAAATTTTGGACTTGTTTAAAACCTTTAACTTCCTTAAAACCCATCTAAATTATGTTTTACATCTTAGTTTCACACTGCAAAACCATAAATATCATTATAGAGGGATGGATCTAGAAATTATAATGGTCATCTATAGTCATACACAAAATCCAGCTGTCAAAAATGTCAAATTTTTCGAAAAATCAACAATTTTTTTCTCAGCTCCTACCTCTTCCATGGCTTTGCATCTTTCAGGGTTACTAACCCTGCTATTAGGCATTTCACATGAATTTTTCCAACCTCTTACAGAATCTAATTGAAAAGTTAGAATCAAAATAGTAAGAAAATGAGTCACGAATTTGCCCCCTGGGGTACATACTTTGTACTAATTTTCAAATTCTTTAGGAGTTATCAGCATCAATTATACTGCAAGTGATTCATATATATAATATCTATGTATGTCACTTACAAACATCAAAATATCTAAGGTTATTTAGTGTAAACAATTTTTTCCCCAGGGTGGGGTGTTTTTGGGGGGTGGGGGGCTAACTCCTCAAAAAAAAGAACTTCCTACCACTCTGTGAAGCTATCACCTAGGTGGAAATTTCATCCAAGACTCTCCCCTAACAGAAAATGCTGCCAAACCAACTATACACCATTTATTGAGAATTTTCCTCCCCGCCCCTAGAGTATAGATAGTGTGAAGTGTTTGTATTTGTATTGACTTGGTATTCAGATTTAATTGCTATAACTGTATTCATGTTAGATAGTGTGAAGTGTTTGTATTTGTATTGACTTGGTATTCAGATTTAATTGCTATAACTGTATTCATGTTAGATAGTGTGAAGTGTTTGTATTTGTATTGACTTGGTATTCAGATTTAATTGCTATAACTGTATTCATGTTAGATAGTGTGAAGTGTTTGTATTTGTATTGACTTGGTACTCATAACTTCATAAGCAATACAGTGAAAAATAAACTTTGAAAACTGATCTTTAAACATTCTTTCAGAAATTCAATCTGTTCTTAAGCATTCATGATATATTGATATTTTGTAGTTATGACAACAAAGAATATGCCCCTAGGAACAGACAGGAGGACCCTAACAAGAACCAATGAAGTTGCCCCAATTATTATCAAAGTTGGGAAAGAGGAATTCCAGCGTTTCACAGAATTCAAGGATCCGATTGTGTATGGAAGGATAGCTGACAATATGCCAGAACACCCTTTAGTCAAGGTACATTCACACTTAAGACTTGGAACATTCACTCAATGATACATGTAGGCACATTTACACTTAAGGATAGCTGACAATATGCCAGAACACCCTTTAGTCAAGGTACATTCACACTTAAGACTTGGAACATTCACTCAATGCTTCATGTTGGCACATTTACACTTAAGGATAGCTGACAATATGCCAGAACACCCTTTAGTCAAGGTACATTCACACTTAAGACTTGGAACATTCACTCAATGCTTCATGTAGGCACATTTACACTTAAGGATAGCTGACAATATGCCAGAACACATGTAGGTACATTTACACTTAAGCTAGGTACATGCACATTTTAGGCTAGATACCTTCACACTTTCAACTGGCTTAAAGGAATATTCCTTGCCAGACCCTTTCTCTCTTGATATGGTAGCTATAATCATATATATAGTTTCCATATTTAGCAAAACATGGGAAAATGTTTTAATATGGTCAATATTGATCATTTAAAAATCTAGTGCTTATTTCCAGTGAGCTGCCATCTTTTAAGATTTCTTGCAGGAAGTGATGTCATCAACTCTCAACTTTATAACCTTGCCCATAACAGTATAGGAAAGTAGCACAAAATCACTTCTAGACAACTGATCATTACTTTCTGTGCAAAAATATTTTCAGGGCTTGTCAACTTAGAATAAAAGAAGAGATTTTCAGAAGGATTAAATAAGACACAAAGTTGAAAAAGAATATTTAGCTGGTTTTGTTATTCTTAATAGCTCCTCACCTAATGCTATATGCAAAGTTGAAAGTCGATGACATCACTTCCTGTGTGAAATTTTAAAAGATGGCAGCTTACTGGAATTGAGCATCACATACTAAGTGATCAAATTTGACCATATCAAAACATTTTTGCGTGTTTTGCTAAACATGGCAAGCATATATATGGTTATAGCTACCATATGAGGAGAGAGATGGATTGGCAAGGAATATTCCTTTAACATTCTTTTTGTAGGCTTACATGTAGATACATTCCATCGAGGCTAAATGTATAGCCAAAATAACAATTCATCATGGAAAATGTTGAAAGTGTATTTTTAAATAACATTTTTGAATTTCAGAACAAATATTTCCTTGTGAAAGATTTCCATCCTGGTATGGATAAGCTGGGTACAATGGAGACATATCAAGCACCAAATGTACGTAAAGCACAGGGCAGTTTCCCTGTGTATGGCATGGGACAGCCCACAAAGGACAGCCTTAGTAACATGTTGGAGCTCTTGCACTCTGGAGGACACTCAGTAAGTGTTTTTTTAAAATGTACGTTAAGCACAGGGCAGTTTCCCTGTGTATGGCATGGGACAGCCCACAAAGGACAGCCTTAGTAACATGTTGGAGCTCTTGCACTCTGGAGGACACTCAGTAAGTGTTTTTTTTTAAATGTACGTTAAGCACAGGGCAGTTTCCCTGTGTATGGCATGGGACAGCCCACAAAGGACAGCCTTAGTAACATGTTGGAGCTCTTGCGCTCTGGAGGACACTCGGTAAGTTTTTTTTTTAAATACATATGTGTAAAGTTTCTTCTTATTTCCATGTGTGTCAAATTACTTATTAAATATTTTCACACTGATACACTTATTAAAAGTGTCTTGTGTTATCAATGTATATAATTCAATGTTACTTTCCAAAATCGATATATTCTGCAAGTGATTTTCCAAAAACTTGAAGCAGAATTCCGTCAATAATTCAAATTACTTGATTAGTAAAGTATAATTACATATAATCTGTGAGCAATTTCCACAAAAAAATTATATATTCTGGAAGTAATTTTCCAAGAACTTGAAGCAGAATTCCATAAATAATTCAAATTACATGTACTTGATTAGTAAAGTATAATTGCAAAAACTCATATATTCTGTCAGCAATTTCCACAAAAAAATTATATATTCTGGAAGTAATTTTCCAAGAACTTGAAGCAGAGTTACATCAATAATTCAAATTACTTGATTGCTAAAGCATAATATTTCTTTGTATGGTGCTGTATCAGTCTGGCAATAAGCCCATATACCAGCTCCACTTCTCCTGTGTAAGAGAGATATTAAGGGAGGGGTGCAGACTGTACAGGGGTTATGCAAGACTATTGATGCTGAAACACACAACCCAGTCAAATAACATTAGGAACTATCCATAATTCAGATCAATGAAACAATGGTTGCCCTTATGATGTTAATATAATGATTTAAATCTGTATATTCTCCAGTCAAGTGAAACACCTCTGTAAGTGGAACACCTCTATCATGTGAAATCATGGCATTCTATTAGTTTCACACTCGTATGCCATGAGACAGTTGGAGCCTACCTTCGATCTAGGCCCGTACAGTTTTCTTGAAAATGCTGAGGGCCAATCAAATCAATGACCAGATGACCAATGAGATCATTTTAGAGACAATGAACATCTTGATGGTCATCCTTATCTTAACCTAATTGGGGTCATAAACTAAATGAGTTGATACCACTTGAGAAACAAACAAAGTAACAATACAATATTATGTAACACTTGTAATGTGTCAAATCGCAAATTGTAACCAACTAGATCAGAGCATATTTGTAGTTGGAGACAGAACGATGTGATGAGTATCAGAATGGAACACCTCCACTTAGACTTATTGTCCATATAACAATTATAACATTCCATTATACAGTACTCGTGATATTTTTCAAATTTGGTTTCATGATTGACCAGAGAACAAGTTTTCTTACATTAAAACTTCTATCAGTTTCATCATATCCTTGCTCTGACATAAGATAAAATTGTCTAAATAAATATCTTATCTTTTGCAATTACAGGAAATCCTTGTGCTAAATTTACGAGAAGAACCTGTTCTCTTCTTGAAAGATGGATTTGACATGGTCACATACTCCCCTCGTCATCAGGACCATCTGCATAAATGTGAAGTAAACCAGGGCAAGACTGTCGCTGAAGCTAGTGCCTTTGAAGTAGCAATCAGGAAAGAGGTACAGTTTATTATTGTATCGGTTGATTTACATCAGTAGAGCTGAATTGCTGTCATGGTTTTATTGGTTAATATAGTGTTTGTTTACCATTGTGCTTAAGTGATTGAAACTCATCTCATCTGGAGTATTGCTTTTCAATCATGCCATGGGTTGGCAGTTACATTCAATCAAATCTGATCAGAAATATTGATCCACTTACCTTGCGAAGCTTTGGTTGTATTTTGTAGATCTTGTATACTGTGCACATAGACTGATTGAGGAACCCCCTTCCTTAAAGGAGTCCTGTGTTCTTTTCTGCATACTGATACTATAAATTATTGAATGATTCAAGTAAAATACAGAAAATAAGGGGAGGGATTTATGCTTAAATTATCTGCATCCATATAACACTTCATCAGGCTAGATTTGTAGTCTCATTTATACATCCACAGGTTTATTAGGAAACAGTACACACATGTCATATGCACTCACTCTCATTATATTATTGATACTGATGAACATCAATCCTCGTTTACAAAACCAGGCACCATATTTCATGTATTTGTACTACCTATAACATGCTATCCGATTTACTGACAGTCCCCGTTGGGTTCTGATTATCTAGTTTCATTGTAACAGCTTTACTCCTTCGTGTAACTTGATTTGATATGTCACCTGAGACTAACATACCTCATACTCAGCAATTACAATATGAAACACACAGTCCACCTGTTTTTATTTTTAAATATGTATGAACTAAATTAAATAGTTATAATCTAGTACTCTTTGCACATTTATGATGTAGCCAATGTGTGGAATGTGTTATATAATTTGAAAGTAAAATGTGATTGTCTGATTGATCCATGATTCATTGATTGATTAGTTGGTTACTTGATTGCTTGGTTGGTGACTTGATTGATTGGTTGGTGATTTGATTGCTTGGTTGGTTGAATAACAATTGATTGAAAAACACAAAATGATATAGAAAACAGTCGTTAAACAAATATGGGGATTAACATGTAAACCTATGAGGTCCTTAACTTTTTTTGAGGAGTATATATAATAGGTAAAATCCATAGGAACTCTGAAGTCATTAATGAATATATATTACCCACTCATTTCCATGCACAAACAATGTTGCATCCCAGTCAAGGGTGGCACAGGAAAGACTTCTATCTAACTTGTATTAAGATTGCGGAAAAGATTGGCTCATGAATTTACAAAGGAATGAAGTAAAGTGTTATCATCACCTCCATTTCAAAAATTAAGTATGAAGATTAATCATGTCTATTATATTATCATGTCTTCTTAACTGCTAATGCATTAAATGCCTGGACAATTATCCCAAAGAATTATTTTCAAACTAATCAACATTTACATGATCACAATACAAGACAAACTGACAATTGTCATACATTTAAATTTGGAATGAACTTTTGGCAAAAGCATGAAGGTGAAGGGAAATAATTTGGAATTCAGCTCCAAATTTCATAAAAAAAATTTAACTTTATATATAAAGCGAGCATGTACTGTTAGTTGGTTTTCAGGTCAATACAGAATTTCATTAACTGATTGAGAATGCAAAAAACATATAACAGTATGAAATCTACTTGCATTAGTGATTGGCAAAGCGATGGAGGCTAAAGTTCATGTCTGTGATATTAAGAGATCTACAACATGAGTAGCTTAGAGCATTTATCATTATCAGTGCAGACGGGAGTCATGGCCTTTATAATCCTAGTCCACATATACACATATAATATATTATTGAATCCAATATGCAGTGTTTTCTTAGTTTATTAACTGAATAAATGAATGCTTAAATTACCATATACTAGAAAATGTCAGATCAAAACTGGCATATTGGATTAATACCCATCTTCTATCAAAAGTTCATCTTTCACTGATAAGATAAATCTTGCTGTAAGATATTTGCCCTACATCCACAGGGCTTTGTCTGTTACTGTGGGAGGAAGTTTGAAATTTGAGCTAGACATCCTGATCCTTAATCAGGGTCTTATTACTAGAAATTTTGGTAACATTGTTGTGGGAAATGTCATGATCATCTTCAGGGCAATTTTTCAGTTGTCAAGAAAAAGTTTTAAAATACCAATAATGAACCTTGGAATATTAGATAAGAAAAAGTTTTAAAATACCAATAATGAACCTTGGAATATTAGTTAAGAAAAAGTTTTAAAATTAAAATACCTATAATGAACCTTGGAATATTAGTCGAGAAAAAGTTTTAAAATTAAAATACCTATAATGAACCTTGGAATATTAGTCAAGAAAACGTTTTAAAATTTAAATACCAATAATTAACCTTGGAATATTAGTCAAGAAAACGTTTTATATTAAAATACCAATAATTAACCTTGGAATATTAGTCAAGAAAACGTTTTAAAATTAAAATACCAATAATTAACCTTAGAATATTAGTCACTCATCTCAGTTTCACTATATTTTTGTGTGTACAAAAGCATTGCAGAAAATTTTGTTGTTTGGATTCAGAAGTTTGTATGGAATATACCATTTCAGGTACCTGTTAAGTATGTACAGTACCATAGACTCAAACAGTACCATAGGCCTAAACAGTACCATAGACCTAAACAGTACCATACAGTACCATGAACACACCATGTATTGTTCATCTAAACTTGCTAAATCATTCAAAAGGGAATAGATGCAGGTGTTAATGAGAGAGCAATTGCAATTTGAGTCTGTTATTGTATCAATATAAATGCAATGTTATAATAGGTTGTTTCATTGCAAGTGATAATTGATTCTAATGAACTACTTTATTCTAAGAGATATTCAATATTTTACATTCAGACAGAAATGACGTTTCGTGACTCTCAGACTTGCACTTGCAAACTAACTTGTACATGTATTACCAAAAGAAATGTGAATTACCTTGGAATAGAATATTAGTATCTGTCACCATTGTGATGTGATGGCATGCTCTAGCTACCATTCTATTGACTGGATATTTAACATCAGTGTTTGGCATTTGTAACAAATTGATCCACTTTCCCATTTGCACCCAATTTGCAACATTTTTTTAATATTGTATATGCCTTAATTGTTCTATGCCTTACTGGATTTTATTTTTCAGATCATGGATTTGGCAGGTTTACGTGATGAACACGACAGTCTGTTTCAGTTCTACAATGACATCACTAATCTAACCCATGACCCTCAGTTGTATTATGTTGCCTATGAAGACTTCATTAGTATTAGTGATGAGGTCTACCAACGTCATACTTTCTTCAGTGACAAAGTCAGGTGAGAGAGGGTATGCATGATGAGTTAAGGGGATATGGAATTATGCTGTTATTCAAGCATGCCCATTCATTTATTTGCTCATTTAACACCATGCCCTCTAACTACTTGACTACCTCGTCCTGGAGTGACAAGATTTCTCGTCACCTCAGAAATGACCTTGAAACCCAGAGTGACAAGAAAATCTGTCACAAAACTTTTCGCTAAAATTGGTCTTATTTGAAGAACTTTCATCCAATTTACACAAAAAATGTGTAGAAATGATCTCTAATTTTACCAAGTTGTGCATCTAAAGGTAAGTAGAAAAATGTCAAAAGGTGGCAAAAATGAAAAATTCTCTGATTTACCATACTTTCGGGACACCCTGAACAGTATTAGGAATAAAAAACATATATGTGTTTTAGATAAGATTGATAAAGTTAAATGATTGTATCCAAAAAATGAACTTAAAATGTGTCTACAAGTACTTAAAAAAAGTGATCACTTTAGAGAGGAGTTCACATACATAGGTTTTACTGTACGTGTATTAATTACATTAAATAGTACTTTATTATATATGTACAGGGTGTCCCGAAAGTATGGGGCCCCCCCCTAGGCAGACATACACCTATGTTCCCATAGTATCCTGGAAACACTGCTAGCCTGAATGTGACCAAAAATATGGGTGCTATCATTAAAGAGAGGATGGCTATTGAGTTGTAAAAAGAGGTCGGTAAGGGCAGATACTCTAAGGAAACTATATAGAGTTTAATGTGTTTTTTTTATTCTGATACTCAGGCCATCTATGTCAGGTAAAGAATTGCATTCTAGAAGAAATCTGATAGAAGGCTGAGATATCTCATGTTGGGTTTTTGATATTTCATTAATTTCAGTTTGTATTCATTATATTAAATGTGCTTGTAGGCTACAAAGATTATGTTTCCCAACCGATGGGGCACCATCTGAAGAAGACTTTGATACCCTCGTCTCATTTTTTAAGGTGAGCATCAAAATGTTTCAATGTTTTAAAAACATAGTACATGTAATTAGACATTTATGTATAATTCTATTCAGTACGTTACGTTACGTACGGCATGTTACACAACACAACACAACGAAATACACCTTTAATTTACATCTGATTAAGCAGTTTTAAAATCCACCAGCCATTTCAGTAGATGATTTTTGGTAGATTACCTTGTGGTCATCCTGTGGATATGGTACAAATAATTGACTTTATTATCTATGGTCCCTGCCATTAAATCTCATGCTTTATTTTGCTCAGTTTTATTTCTTGCCTCGTTATTTACAGATAGTTTTAATTTCAGGCTTGCCCAGCTTTATTTGATGGTGAAGATGTTTCATTGCCCGCCATGTTATTCACCTCACACACTGGAGAGGGTAGGGCAACGGTTGGCATGGTAATTGGTTACCTAGTGCTTTCACATATGCAGGGATTTCCCAATGATGCAATGTATGTATTAATACTGTTTATAGTTCTTTAGAAAAGGTTAATTCTCATTTAGGGAACCTTTATGTTTCTATCATCTTAATTTATGACATAATGACAAAGGAATCTTAGTCTGAATCCATTTCTATAATAGCACTCCACTAAGAAAGAAAACTACATGAGCCTCATTCAATGAGGACTTCAATGACATCTTTTCGAGCCTGCAGGACTTCAATGACATCTTTGCGTGCCTCTGGGACTCTTAATGACATCTTTTCGAGCCTTTGGGACTCTTAATGACATCTTTTTGAGCCTGTGGGACTCTAATGACATCTTTTCGTGCCAGTGGGAATCTTACTGACATCTTTTCGAGCCTGAAGCAATGAAATCTTTACTTTGGTCTAGTTTATTAGATATTCAATTATCTTGTTGCTTAATGTTTCAGAAAAACGCCATACCCAATAAATGAAAAATCACCAAACTATGAACGTGGTGAGTTTACAGCAATAGTAGAGCTCATCAAATACCTCAGCAATGGACCAAAAATAAAACAAGAGGTAATGCTCCCATTTGGCCACCCTTGGCAAGAGCTTCGCATTGTTTGGACTCTAAGAATAAGAGTAATTCTTTGATTTGGTCTGTGTTCAAACAGTATAAGAAATTGTGATATTTCATTTTTGCTGACATTCAGTGGAATTTCAGTCTTCATAAAAGGGCCTCTTTTGTTTTCTTTATATTACTTTTTAAAAATTGTGGTGTTGATTTTATACAAAACAAACAATTTATTGTTTCATAAAAATTGACAATAACCTCTCTTGTGATATATCATTAAGGAAATGCAGAACAAGTGTCAGGTTTTGGGGTACAACTCCCAGCAATATAAATAAATAAAATAAAAATTTTTAATCTGCTCATTTTGTCAGATACCCCTGGGATCGCACACATTAATGTTCCATTCTTTTATTATTGTGTGAATTATATATGGTTGATATGACAAAATATGTGAACAATGCTACCAGGTTGATGTGACAATAGACATGTGTGGAGAGCTGAATAATCTGATAGATGAGCTCCACAAAGCTAAAGAAACACTTGAGGAGATAGAAACTGATTATATAATACAAGTGAGTGATTTAGAAATGACTTTATTATCCAAGTGAATCATTTAGAAAATGACTTTATATTCGTGATTAGAAACTGACTAAATATAATACAACAGTGATTTAGAAACTGATTCTATAAAACAAGTGATCTAGAAACTGACTAAGTTGCTGATTAGAAACTGACAGTAAAAATCCTTTGAATGATTTAGAAATTTAATGATACAAAGTAATTTATCTCATCTTCATTTGAAAAAAGCCCCCGCTGAACACAGTAGAGATGTGATACATTCGATAAAACATCTTTCGTTTGTGTTGTAGGGTGAAAGTGCCATGAGTTACTTTAGAGAAAAATGTGTCAACTATCTGGAGAGGTACTTTTATCTGATTTGCTTCAATGCCTACTTGCATGACCAGGTGAGACGCTAAAATACGGCTAAGACCCTTGACAATGAAAAGTGAACAAAAAGTTGAAAACAGATTTGTGTGTTTTGATAAAAATATGCCAATTTAATCAAGGATAGAGTAGATGGTAATATTACATCGTGACATACACACATTCATAAAGATAGTGTTCTTTGGGATTTGCTAATTTGTGGAGTTGCTCCGATTCCTACTTTAGGTTTAGTCAGTTGGTCTTGGAAGTCTGAAAAATGTTTCACTAACCGAGTTGTTCCACTTAACAGGTTTCACTGTATACAATTCTTCATGATTTCCATGGTGCCTCAGCCTGTCAGCATTATTGATAACCTCTCAATAATCAACCTGATTAAACATATGATTATCTTTTTAGCCTAATCAATATAATCCACAGTAAAATATGTTTAAATCATGTTCATTAGTATTAATTTTATTCTTATTTTCAGTTTGTGAAGCTCCTCTCTATAAGCTTCTCCCAGTGGATGAAGCAGCATCCTTATATCTACCACTTGTTTAGCAATCTAGACATATCATGCAGGACAATTTCATCCGAGCTGCTACTGAATAATCAACATTTCCTGGTAAGTTTGCAATACAGCAAATAGCTTTATTTGCAGCTTATTGAAACGCAATAGAGGGGAAATATGGGGCGTGGTTAAAGTATCAAATATGGAAAAAGAGCAATTTATTTTACAATTTCATAATTGTACTATATTAATTAGGAGAATAAAACAATAAAACATGAAAGTCACAGATAACAAATTATGTAGCTAAGATGTTCCAGATTTTCACATCTTGTGACAGATTTAATGTTTTCCCTGTCTGTTAAATGCCTTGCGTATTCATCTACTGTGTTCTTTGAAAGCACAATGTAGATGGCCAGGAATTAATACTTTGTGCAAATCCTTATGTGACCAGAGGTTCAGATCCCCACTCGTATACTCGTAATTTATGAGTAATTTGTCAAATACGAGAAATAATTTAAAAATACTTGCCATTCGTACGAGTATTTTTTTTCTGAGGATCTGAAACTATGTATGTGTCATAAGCACAGGGTGGGATTGAAAATTTTTTAACTCAGACACAACGTGTGTGGTTTGACAGTATCCCAAATAACTTTTCCATTGTTTGTTTTTTACACAATAGGTTGCAGATGACTACTGGGGCTTAGATGTGTTGAGCTCACAGATGGACGTGAAAGTGTCAAACTTCAGGAGAATCCCTTCTTTACCTGTATATGGCAGTGCACAACCATCTCGTGAGGTATTGGCACCGTAGTCTTATTTGTTTAACACTAAATCACACACATTTTCATCATCTGTTAGGGCAGCTAGGCCAAATACTTTTCATTAAAGCAGATATGAAATGGTATTTTTAACCTAAAGGAATCAAAATAATTTTTTGATAGATGTATTTGGACATGTTTTCTCATCAGTAGTGTGAAAACTATTTCACTCTAACGATCGTTATAGCTGCTTAATAAGCAATATTCGAATTGGTTGTGACGTTATTGGCCCCCACGTGATCTCTCACTGGTCCCCACGTGGCCCGTAATATGGTCCATTAGATCATGACGGCATAATGCCAAAATGTTTTGTTATTTGTTTACACAACAATCCTTGGTTGCCGTGACGTTGTGATTACTATGGAACCAATAAACCAAAGCTATATTTTGTATATGACGTTACTAATCACGTGGGGGCCAATTTGATTTATCGGTTAGTTTTATTTCGTTATCTATGACCGTTAGCAGTTATCTAACATTTATTTTATAATGGCTATCGCAAGAACTCTACAATGGGCTTACAATGGAGAAAACCGCATTTTTGTAGCTGCAAGTTGAGAAAAGCTATTTCAGTTGTCCTTTAAATTTTTTGGAAGCAGATTTTTTTCGAAAATAAATATATTTAATTAGTGTCAAATCTCTACACAGGGTCTATCTTGCGTGATGAAATATTTGACCAGCAAGAAGCTTGGTCATCCAAAGGTGGTTCTAGTCAACCTGAGAGAAGACATGGTACTGGAATGTGATGCGCAGACATTTAGCCCTCGTGATATCAATAACCTTGAAGAGCCAGTCATAATGCCAGATATTTCTGGCAGTGAAATTGAGGTATGCAATATGTCAATTACTGATGGTTATGTATAGATTTATTATCCTAAAATGTTGCCTTTTCAGGCAAAATTGGTCTCAGGAACCAATAATAATTGTCAGGTTCCTTTTCTTCATTTAAAAGACAATTTTACATCACATTTGTTTTTGAATGGATGATCTTGCACACATGTACACATGTAAGAGGCTCTATTTCAGGCTAAAGAAAATGAGATGAAGAATGTAGTGAAACCTAAGAAATCATTCCAAATCTACACAGATCTGTCTGAGAGTTCAGATAGTGTTGAGTTCAGTAGTGTGTTAACACCTCTAGAGATGTTCAATCAGCAATGCATACAGACCCCTCAACTTGTATATCACAGGATACCCATATCTGATGATGCAGCACCTAAAGAAAAAGTAAGACCCTCTACCAGTTGGCTGCTATTTAATTCCAAAGGTTATACAGATTCAGAGACTTTCCAAGATGGCGGCATTTCATTTTGAATATTGTACTTTGATATCTGATATATATATATTTTTTGTTGTTGACAATATTAGTTCATCCGTTCATTCATTAATTGGAATCTATGGTATATCATATTCATGGTATTTAAAACTTAAGTTTCCTTTTGCCTTTTTCTGACCTAAAACGGATTGTCAGCATTGGTTCCAATGTTTTCAAGGAATCATACATCACTAGTTGGTTACATTTTAGAGGATTCAGCTTCTTTGAGATTTTTTATGCGATATTCAATGCTTATAATACCATCTATTGGCAGTTCTCTTGGTTATTAGTGCATTTTAGGGAGTTATACATTCAGAATATGTATAATTGCAGAACTTTGATCAGATCATGGCACTGCTGAATAACATTGAAGAGATCTACACAGATGAAGATGGCCCAGCCTTGTTGTTTCATTGCCGTACAGGAAAGGGGCGGACAACCACAGCCATGGCTATTGCGGGCCTGATCATATGTCATAAAAAGGTTGGTCCAATTTTTTAAATTCCAAAATGTATTTATAGTTCAAAATCATGTGATACCGTAATGATAAATCAAATGGTTATTTGCTACCTTTCAATTAGATAATAACATTTTTTTAAGAAAGATCATGTTACTTTGATTTGAAGCTTTTGGTGGCTGGGCATACAAAATGTCAGTAACACTATAGAATAAAAAGTATTCAATTAATAGTTAAAATATAGTTACCCTTTTAAATACACTTAGAAATATATAAATGACATTTTGTGATCAATCACTTGAACAATCTTTAAAATCATTGAAATTAAACTTAATAGTACAGTAGCAACTGTATGTCTTAAAATAATGATTTTTATGTTGTATGCAATATACATGGTAGATATATATGGTAGAGACAGGATTCTTATATCAAAGTAACAGTTTATATGTCATTTGAAGAATGTAATCCTATTTTCTTTACTTTATTGCTATGTTTACTGTTATTGAAAACTGTATATCGGATGTACGTTTGGCCCTAAAAGGCCATCAGTACTAATAAAATCCTATTATTAACCTAGAGTGAATATAGCAGCTAAAGCGTATCTTATTCCAGGGGTTCCCCTATGGTACAAAACCTGGAGAGCAGGAATTGGTCTCTTGCCCCAATGCAACATACACAAAAGGAGAGTTTCTAGTAAGTGGACTGTGTATTGTTTCACATATGAAAACAAATCATGCAGTAAGGTTAAGACGTCAATTTGAAATATTATTGTTAGAAATATTTAACTGAAGAAAGATTTTGAACTTTATTATGCTTTCTTCACACAAATTTTATTTGTAGATTGTTCAGCGGCTGGTCCGCATGATTCCTAATGGTCAGCAGATGAAGCGTGAAGTTGATTTCATGCTTGACCAATGTTCAGAGACAATGACTCCAATGCATTACCATGTGAGAGAAGTGATATTTGTCACATACAATAAAGTAAGTTACAAATCACATACAATAAAATTAATTTCATCATCATCAAGGAAACGTCCAATCACACGCAATGGGGTTAAATCCTTTAAAATACAATTAAGAAAACTTCAATCACATACAATAAAGTTGACTGTATTAGCATACAATATAATTCCAATCATATACAATGAAGATAATTCTATAAACATACAATAAAGAATCATACCAATCACAAACCAAAATTGTACCAGCCACATACAATAAAATCCATTATTTAAACATACAATTAAGAAAATTCCAACCTACTAGTTTGTTCCAATCAAATACCATGAAGTTAATCCCAGTAACAAAAATAATGTAAATGCCAATATGTTATGGCTTGATGATCTTCCAGATGAAGAAGGCCAAAACTGATGAAGACAGAGAGGAACTGAAGTTAAAGAGTCTGCAGTACTTGGAGCGCTATCTATATCTTATTCTATTCAACACATATCTACATGCTGAGAGAAGGAACCATTATGAGAGATCATTCACTCGGTGGATGAAAGAGGTGAAAACATTCAACTGTTAAGTCTTGAAATTATTAAGTTCTGTACCCCCATTCACTCTCTACTACTAGCTGAGTAAGGAAATAGATGAGGGTGATTCGATTCTCTCTACCTCATGATGTGTAGAGAAATAGATGAGGGTGACTCCATTCTTTCTACCACAGGCTGGGTCGAGAAATAGATGAGAATGACCCTATTCTTTCTACCATAGGATGGGTTGAGAAATAGTTGAGGGTGACCCCATTCTCTACCAAATGCTGGGTCGAGTAATAGTTGAGGGTGACCCCATTCTTTCTACCACATGCTGGGTCAAGAAATAGATGAGAATGACCCTATTCTTTCTACCATAGGATGGGTTGAGAAATAGTTGAGGGTGACCCCATTCTCTACCAAATTCTGGGTCGAGAAAAAGATGAGGGTGACCCCATTCTTTCTACCATAGGTTGGGTTGAGAAATAGATGAGAATGACCCTATTCTTTCTACCATAGGATGGGTTGAGAAATAGTTGAGGGTGACCCCATTCTCTACCAAATGCTGGGTCGAGAAAAAGATGAGGCTGACCCCATTCTTTCTACCATAGGTTGGGTTGAGAAATAGTTGAGGGTGACCCCATTCTCTACCAAATGCTGGGTTGAGAAAAAGATGAGGGTGACCCCATTCTCTCTACCACAGGTTGGGTTGAGAAATAGATGAGGGTGATCATGATAAACCAAGACATGCAACCCTACACAGGATCTCATCTTTATCTACACTTAAATTATCAGCAGTTCTTTGATCTAGCCTATATCCAATGAAAATATGTAGTTGAAAGTCATGACACTACATTTTCTCTCTTTAGGTACTTTATTTTCACCCAAACTCAAAAAGCATTAATATAAATCATCTGTAATTATCACACATGCATGCATAATTTGTGTCTCGCTGATGGAGATCTGATGTGGCATAGAAGTGATGAATGTCAGAATACAATGTTAACTATTGGGAGTACCCAGGTGTAAAATACAAAATACAATGGTACTAAAGGTTCTCATAATTCCAGGTTGGCTCAAGAGCAGGCGTGTATGAAGTACTTGATGATATAGCTTTCACTGACTTTGAAAGTGTTAACTCAAAAATGCTGAGGACACGACGTGCACGTTGGAAGCAAGTACCAAAGTTGCCTTTCAGAGGAAAATTTATATAGCGCCATGGCCGATCTTAATGATGGTGATCATAATGTGGTGAATAAACAAAGGAAACTTAGGAAGGTCAGAGGATTGACACAAGAATCTCAAACAAAGATTGTTCCCATTGAACCAAGTGCCTGCTACAGGGTACATCAATTTACAGGTTATGCAAACTTGTACAGACCTACATGTATGGTGACAAACTTGTGGTTAGATAGACCTGAGGATACACAGATTAATATGACTATCGAGTTACACCTTGTAGATACAGAGAATTATGATGGTTCCCTTTGACATCCGTTACACAATTTATATGGCTACACAAACCTTATGCTTTATGGTTCTAGAGATCTGTGGTTAGTCCAATGTATGAGGTTACACAAACCTTCTAGATACATAGATTTACGATTCAGTTGACATGCTGACCAATATTTATGGTTACACTTGATGGCTACGTAGGGAAGGAGTGAAAGAGACCTGACTTATTAAGTAAAAGCAAATAATTATTTTTTGAATTAATTCTGTGTTAAATATGTGTTCATTTAGTGGAGTTATGTAAAGTGTTTGTACATTATCAAATTGCACATTATGACTGTTTCATTTGCCAAACCCCAATTATCCCAAATGATAATATCCTAATACGCTGATGTCATCACTTAAACATGGGACATCATATTTTAGTGCATTGATTTTGTGTGATCATCAAAATTGTAAGATATAACTATTTAATAAAATACCATTGATCTTTTCGATTATATTTGGGGTAAACTACACATTTGTTCAATGGTCATGGATTTTCATTGAAATTTTGTCACTTATTATACCTGTGATTCTCGAACACTTGAATTTGAACAATGATTTGAGGTTTATCTGAACAGTGACATTATTAAAAAACGCTTACCTTACCGCCCTGGTTTGTCACATGTTTGTTGATCTATAGCTAGCCACTATAAGTTACATCATTGATATTATAGTGCATCTTTGAAATATCATTTAGATTTGACTGCACAATCTTTGTACAATTGATCCAGTTTTAATTGTTTGCATATGTAATGAACGTTGTAATATACATTAAGGGGTGATTATCCCACCTAACAAAAGCGTGTGCTAAATTCAAAATGATTTCAAAAGAAAAACATCATTTTGTCTTATGGCCATTGGACTTCTACCAAAGAAAGAATTTTCAATATGATGTCATGTCATGGATGTAGATTTTGCCAAAAGGAGACAATACTACCGTATGGTTATTTATGTAACAAAGTGAGCAAATTGAGGAAGTGTTCGATAAAATATTTTTGTTTGGTGGGATCTGCTACTCCATAGAGTTGTTGTTTTTTCATTCTCATTTTAAGGCATTTGTTTTCATAACAACGTTCATAATGTTTAATACATGTACCTTAATCAAATTTGAAATGCTTTTGCTCAATATATAATATCGGCATCTCCTCGATTTGTTTCTGAGATTTAAAAGGTTTGGTGTCAAAGGGCAGTATATTGAACGTTAATTACATTTTGGGAGAGGATAAAAGCCCATTACGTTTTTATCGTTTTATGTCAATTTGTAAATAGTAAAATATTTTTAAAATTGAGTAAACGTTCAATTATATTGTTTGGTAAGAGATGAGCGTTAATCTGGAATTAAGTAATACCTTTTGGTGCAACATCGAAATATGGACCTGCTCCATAAGTTTTAATATTTTCATCCTGTCATTACCTGCAGGTGGTTTAGTATATTTTTGTAATATGACGTCTTGTTGTCTTTTATCTTTTAAGTTATGTACTCATTAGAAGTTAAACAATGTACAAAATTTCTGCAAATACAAAATTAAATCCTTATTTTAACTATTTTATGTCTGCATTCTATAAACTATTATATTGCAATGCTCGTGTTGTGGCTTTAAAATATCATCTTCAGAATTCTTTGGATGGGATTTTATCCTGTGACAGGTGAGGTTTCAGGTACATAACAGTGGGGTATAGAATCAATAGCTTGGGGAAGTGAGACATACGCATATGTGCATATTTACGATGATTGATATTTCCAAATACAGGGTGACACAAAAAATGCCACCCACTTATTTTGGAATAGAATTTTAGTGATCTTTCTTTTGTAGATTAGTGTTCAAGGAAGAAAAGATTGTTGTACTCAGGTAGCATCGGCAACTTTGGAATTACAGAGATATCATGATTTCTGTCATGTTTCACAAGCTTACACATAGCCTATATCTTCAATAATATGTCACATCTACATTTTTCCTAAATAATTTTTTCAATTTATTCTATTGATCAAATAATGTAATTAATTTATATGAAATCCGTTTTGAAATCAGGAATAAAAGATACATTTCTCCATTGAAAACTCTATCTACACTTAATGAAAACACGAAGATTCCTAAATTATTAAGAAAGTTATTCCAATATTAGTCGGTGGCATTTTTAATTGTGTAACCATGTATGTTCAAATTCTGTTATTCTTCCAAAGCCTTTGCTATGTATGTTAATATGAACGACATTTTAATAATGTGTTCTATTTCAATACATAAAGCAGGTTTGTAAAAACTTATATTTTCATTGGCGGGCAGATACGGCTGGAGCGGCCAGATACAGCTGGAGCGGCCAGATATATTATATTGGCCTCGGGATAATCCCAATATCCCGAACCTCTTATAGGATAATCTCTCTCTATATATACCTCCCGCTGTGTGTATTTCCCACTCCATTTTCCTATTCCCGTGAAAATGTTTTTGCCCAGTGTATTGACACAGGCTGGTATCGAAATATTTGTCCGCTGTGACGGAGCATGCTATTTTTCATAAAAGCACTAAGAATGCTTCACGATTTATTTTTTAACTCATATGTTTCGTTATATCAAAGAAATGTACTTACTCCATGCAAAGGGTATACCATTTGCGGGTAACCTTCACTTCTGTTTGAAGTCAAATAACGCTAGAAGTAAAAGCTATTGAAAACGGTGCCAGAGTATCAAACTCTAAAAAGCACCATTTCTTTTTTAACTTTTTAATGGCATGATATAGTGACACGATAATATTTACATATGTTTTCAGCATAACTTTGAATGTATTGATGAGATATTAATGCATTGGGTATCTTTAATTTTTTTATAAAAAATAATATTAATATTTTTTGTCCGCTGTGACGGAGCATTTTCACAGTTCACATTTGCAACTGCTCCGTCACAGCGGACAAAAAAATTAAACATCATTTTTTATAAAAGAATTAAAAAGACCAAATACATCAACATCTCATTTATACCTTCTTAGTTATGCTGAAATCATGTGTAAATATTATTGTGTCAATATATTGTGCCATTAGAAAGTTAAACAAAAAATGGTACATTTTGAAGGATGATACTCCTGCGCCATTTTCAATAACTCTTCCCAGCGTAATTGGACTTCAAACAGAAGTGAAAGTTACCCGCAAATGATATATCCATTGCATGGAGTAAGTAATTTTCTATGGTATAACGAATCATTTGAATTAAAAAATAAATCGTGGAGTATTCTTAGTGCTTTTTTGAAAAATAGCATGCTCCGTCACAGCGGACAAATATTTCGATACCAGCCTGTGATTGAAAACCACTCAAATGCAATATCTTAATTGTGTAATTTGTGTTAATGGTATCTTGTATTTTCGGGGGATTGTTGAAATCCACTTCTTGCGCACATTTTGAATTCACAGATCCATCAATAACATAATCAGTTATTTACATAGTCAGCAAAGGAACACCCAGGTCTTTGTACACATAGTCAATCCAAAAGTTCATGCGTTTAGACAAGAAACGTTTAATCAAGCCATATTTCGGAACAATATCAGTTGAATTGTTGAACTCCAGATAATTTGAATTAAAATCAGTGAACTCTGGCCAGTCAAAGAGGTATTTCAGGCTGGGAGATCTGGAAATACATAACTCACGATATAAAGATTATGGCATCATGGAATACCATCATAGATCGATTAAACACAGGTTTTTAGATGCGATTTGTATCAGAATGCATTTATGGAGAGAGTTTTCATCTTATTACAGATATTTAGAAACTGCCATAACAAGTGGAACGTACTTTGCATGGATAAAGCTCGACCAAGTTATAATTATTATGTTGTTATTATTATTTTATCAATGCTATTAGAGTATCCCTCTTTTTCTAGTAATCCGCAGCCATATATCCCATTATCTATATAGTATTATATATCATATGAAAGCTACTTCTCAGTGATTATTAAAAGCCATATGTTCTTACCCAGTCCTGGCAAATTCTCCCCAAGATTGCATCATAAGATTACTCAGTCTCCTCTCTCCTTCTGTGACATTTAGGTCTAATATATACTTTGCTGTGCCAAATACGAATGGAATATCATCTGCATGTACACTATTCACCCAATCTGGTCTATCCGGGGCAATGATGCGTATTGCTTTAGATAACTGCACATGTAGGTAGTAACAGTAAACCTTCTTTGGTGAATGTTTCTTATAAAGGGTAGCGAATTGATGTGTTCCAGCAATTATGGAATGATCTGTTGTTGCATCAATGACACCTGCAAATAGCATTTGGTATTTCCGTACTTGGTTATTATGTCATTACCACCAAAAGGGGCGGCATATTGTTATACCGGCGTAGCTTAGCTTGTATTTGCGAATTCAACTTCAGCTGTCGGCTACCGAATCGACCTACTATTTTATGGGCAACTTATTTAAATATGAATAGTAGCTGTCAGCATTCCATTCATATTTAAATGAGTTGGTCATAAAATAGTAGGTTAATCCGATAGCCGAAAGTTGAATTGGCGAATACAAGCTAAGTCTCCGACTTTTTGTGGGCTGCTGTTGGCGTTCGGCCTTTGGTATATGTAGGTGAATTTATTCATTGCTATATGGCTTGGTGACATTCACATGAAGTTGAAAATGAAAAACTACCTTTACTCCTGTCGGTAGACCTCATAGACTCATCCGTTGAATAGTTGTTGTAGATGAGAGATAGTGCTCCAATTAGTGCCGCACTATAATTGCTTGTTTTGTTGATGTCCATACTGATCGCTGCTTTGAATTGTGACATGTTATACCCCAGGCCTAGATCACCAAAACGCGAACTTATTTCTGGACCACTCATGAATCCTTCATGACTGTTGCATCCATTTACAAAGTCAACCGGCTCATATTGTCCTCGCTCTAGGATTGTCTTAGGATCATCTGCAAAGAAGGACCCATCCATATTTGGAACAAATCTCAGGTCCATCAACATTGAAGCAGACAATACGTCAGAAGCTGTTCGTGTTCTCAAACAGTTTAAATCCGCATAGAAGTCACATTTTAGTTTATACACAAGTTTTTCTTCCATTTCACGATTTTTTCCCTTTGGATTCATTGCCCATGGGTCAAACAGAGAACCACTCTGTGCGATTGCTTTCTGAAAAAGACCCTTTGCCTGATTGGATATCATAAGCATAGTAACTGCAGCAGAACCAGCTGACTCGCCAAATATGGTCACAGAGTTCTTGTCTCCGCCGAAATGTCCAATATTTTCTTGGACCCATTGTAAAGCGAGAACCATATCTTTGAGTCCCCAATTACCATCATCTGGCCCAGACTCAGTTGAGAGGAAACCAAAGACGTTCAGTCTATAATTGATGGTAACGATGAGTACATTGGCGTGTTGGGAGAGGTAGCCGCTGTCGTAGATAGTACTCGAGCCTGTTTGGAAGCCACCTCCGTGAATCCACACCATCACTGATAGATTACCACCCCCAGTCCAGTTCCCGGGAATCCACACATTCAGATATAAACAATCCTCAGACATATCTAAGTATTCACTTTCTTGCATACACGATGAGCCATACTGTGTCACCTGTTTTATCCCTTGCCATTTTGGCTGCTTCTGTGGATTCACCCAGCGCATTTTACCAGTTGGTGCAGCTGCATAGGGAATACCCAAGAATTCAGTTATGTATGCTCCAGCAAAAGTTCCTAGACGATAGCTCGTAAGTTGGCCTTGCAGTGCCCCATTAGACGTGTTCACAACTATTGATGGTCCAACTACGTATTTGGGTGGTCGAAATGGAGGCGACATATTCATCAAGTCTATATTCCCATACTGTATGTGTTGTTTCTTTGGTATCGTTTGTTTGAATGTTTGGAGGACTCTCTCACATTCAGGGTAGTATCCCTGAAGGCAACAGGCCTCATTTCTTACCCTACCTTGACTTTTCCAATGTCCCTTATCACAAAACCAGTTTTCACACTCAACTTGCTTCCAGCCTCCAGGTGAACATTTTGTATGTCCACCTTTTCTCGCAATTTTCTCACGAGTGCTTATTGAATCATAAACACAAAGTAAGAGTGTTAAAAACACTAAAGTAATATTATTTGTGTGCATGTTTAATCAATGTATCGAGCTGCTTATAAGTGTCTTTCACGTATATGACATCGTCATGAGGTTTTTCAAGTTGTTAACATCAAATCTTATCTCCCTGTTAAAAGTTAAAGTTTATTGTTCTTTTTGAGCTACTTCCGCATAGACCTATATTGGCTTTTAAAACAAACTTTTATGATTTTAAAGGTTATATATTACACAGCTTATATACGAGTGCATTAATTGACCTCCCTTTATTTTAAACGTCCAAAATATGTCTTCAAATAAGAGAATATTTCCAAATTATTACTTCAAAAATTCATTGTCAATTCACATGGTTTGTCAGTTATCTGTTTAAAAAGAAGAATACTTGTAGCTAAAATCAAGCTCAGAATGAGGAAAGAGATCAATTGTTTATTTCTCACTTTTTGATATTAAAATTAACAGAACGCCTGATGAAAAAGTAATGTGTCAAATATCAGACTTATTGTGTAAAAAGAACTTAAAGTATTAACTCAGTGTTCTATCATCCGTTTGCCTTCTAAAGAACATCTTTGAACCATGTCTACATTTTCCAAACGACTAGTATTGTCATGGATCAGATGAGTCTGGCTGCGATGCATGAAGCTGTTATTTTTTCCTAAAAAAACAAGTCAAGCGATGTTCCATTTTTTTCTCAATAATTTATTCACCAATGGTCTTTTCAATATACATAATCTCTGAAACATTTCACATGGGGACAGTTAAGTACGTATCTTAGAAAGGTATTTCGGAAACATTTGCGCATCTCAAAATGATTCTGATACTGATTTGCGCAAATGACAATCTCAGGCATACTTACATGACATAAAGACGAACACCTGGTCAAGATGGAGGTTTTTCCAGTGGGAGGCCTGCACATTGCACATAGCTACATGTAGCTGAAAACGGCCACTCATAAGATAAATGATTATGCTGATGCTCTTAGCATGATATAACACAATTTTTATTTAGTCATATAAAGATGACAGCACAAATGCATATGAAAAAGTATATAATATTGTGTGTTGCGTTTTGCATGTAATTCGATATATCCTTAATCATTTACCATCATTTTAACTTTAGAGTCTTTCTCTGCTTTCATCTTCCTTTTATTGTAATTTTATTGTAAACCTGTGATAAAATACGCAGTAAATCAACATCAATTCTTAACATTTATTGTTTTCAAAAAAGTTAATATTTATCCAATAGATTTATCCTGCACTTAAAAGAATAAATGAAAACGAAAATGCACCGTGACTGCCAGGGATTGCTGAGCGGGAGATACACCGGTAGATATATATTTTCCATCTGAGATATCAATTAGATTCCCACATGTTATTTTATAACACTACTAATTATGGACAAATGTACATATGAGTATGAACTTATAATTTCTGATTCAAGAGGCAAAATATTTTTAATTATCAATTTTGTTAAATTGAATCTCTCGTTGGGTTTTCCCAATGTATATAAGATTTCATTTGTTATAATATGCTTTTGAACTTATTATGCGACGTTGTTTTTAACGTGGTATGTTCCAGTGACCGACCCCCTTAAACCGTGTAAAGAAGAAAGTAATTTACGGCGCATATGCGAATTACTCAAGACAATATAAGCGATGACAGTAAAGGTGACGGGAACATCCTGGAAGCGCACACGATAAGCTGTATTATAGAATTAATTATTTTCACCGTTGTTGAGATTAACGTTGTCATCGAGAAGAAAATAAATGTTATCATTATTTGAGCCAGAGTAAAATAAAATCAAGAAAGACTTCTCAGAGAAGGTTGAATTAAGTTTGAGATACTAAAGACCGGACCTGCATTGAATGAGATCAAGAATTGTTGAAATCAGCTACGTCGATCCAGCATGAGATGATCAAGTTCGGAGGAGGACTTCATGATTGATCTTGATGATGCAAGTATAAATTTATTTTGTACATCTCAATTCAACTAATTCAAATTATTGATAGTAATATTTTGCGAAAGTTCTCACCACCTTCGAAACGTTTAGTTTTTTCAACTGGTATTATGAGAAATCAATCGATATCAAATTGATCTCATTACTGCATCGATTTTCTATTTTGTCATTGAATGTGACTTACATAGATATACAAGTAGTGGCTGGTATTAGTTTTACAACATTTAAATGAGAAAATGCACAAAGTTTGCTTACATTTCTATCATCGGCTATTGATGATTCGTTTACCCATTACAAGAAAATGCTGGAGAGAGCCTCAATTGAGAGTTAATTAATTCGATAAAGTAATTCATTTGTTTGTTACTTTATTTCCTTTCATTTTGTATGGACGTTTGGATGACGTTGTGTATTGCCGCACATCTGCCTATTATTGTATACAGATCACAGAGTGGCTTTTAGATCCATTCGGGAAAGTTTTCGAATGAGTGAGATAGAATAGATGATCAGACAGTTCAAATTCAAGATGTATATTGCTTTGAATTCACACAAATGGAACGAGAAGTATAACCACTTGAAAAAACAGTTGGTCTAAAGCAAGTGCAGTCCAGCATCTGTAATTTATATCTTATATCCTAAATTAATTACTAAGTATTTCGTGTAAAAGGATTTTCTCACCTGTATGTCTGGAAAGAACCTGTTGTTGTAGGACGTATAGACGAAGATTTGTAAGGCCAATTTAAAGGTCAGGAACTCTGAATTCACAATGTTGTTGGGTTTGAGAATACAATGTCTTTACTTTTTGTTCCCCTGAAGTTCATTTTCCATGTCGGATACCATGGGGAAATTGCATTAAGATCAGATTGCAAAATTTTGTTATTTTCAAAAAGGTTTGCTATGGAATATGGTTGGTATAGAGATGTATCATCGGCGTAAATATAACATTTGCTTGATAAAGTTTCCGGGGAATCATTTATCAGAAAAGGTCATCCATCAAAAAAAGTAAGGGTCCCAAAATAGAGCCTTGTGGAACCCCGGCATTGATATAATGTTCATCGCTTAAAACAGACGCAGTGGCGGATCCGAAGGGGGGGGGGGGCGTCTCTGGTTTCGAATGCTTCAACAGTTTGACGATTTAACAAGTATAAACTTTGAAAAACTTTCGAACTTTCTACATGGTTCTGATTCAGTACCAGATAATATGCTACGTTCACGCGTGGCAACATGTAATAATTCCATGCATCCTTTTCCCATGAGATTCGTCTGGCATTCTTTTTTAAGTGTGGTAAGTCACGTTGAAGAACTATTGAACAGAGAGAACAAATGAAGGGACATTCTTTCCTTCACAGGAGTTAGAGCCAAACGTTCATATGGGGTTGTAAAGAAAAAGAGAGAACAAGTGAAGGGACACTCTTTTCTTTACTAGAGTTAGAGCCAAACGTTCATATGGTGTCGTATAGAACAGAGAGAACAAATGAAGGGACATTCTTTTCTTCACTAGAGTTAGGGCCAAACGTTCATCTATGGGGTCGTATAGAACAGAGATAATAATGAAGGGACATTCTTTTCTTCACTAGAGTTAGAGCCAAACGTCCATATGAGGTCGTATAGAACAGAGAGAACAAATGAAGAGACATTCTTTTTTTCACTAGAGTTAGAGCCAAACGTTCATATGAGGTCGTATAGAACAGAGAGAACAAATGAAAAGACATTCCTTTCTTCACTAGAGTTAGAGCCAAACGTTCATATGGGGTCGTATAGAACAGAGAGAACAAATGAAGGGACATTCTTTTCTTCACTAGAGTTAGAGCCAAACGTTCAAACGAGGTCGTATAGAACATAGAGAACAAATGAAGGGACATTCTTTTCTTCACTAGAGTTAGAGCCAAACGTTCATACGAGATCGTATAGAACATAGAGAACAAATGAAGGGACATTCTTTTCTTCACTAGAGTTAGAGCCAAACGTTCATACGAGATCGTATAGAACATAGAGAACAAATGAAGGGACATTCTGTTCTTCACTAGAGTTAGAGCCAAACGTTCAAATGAGGTCGTATAGAACATAGAGAACAAATGAAGGGACATTCTTTTCTTCACTAGAGTTAGAGCCAAACGTTCAAATGAGGTCGTATAGAACATAGAGAACAAATGAAGGGACATTCTTTTCTTCACTAGAGTTAGAGCCAAACGTTCAAATGAGGTCGTATAGAACATAGAGAACAAATGAAGGGACATTCTGTTCTTCACTAGAGTTAGAGCCAAACGTTCAAATGAGGTCGTATAGAACATAGAGAACAAATGAAGGGACATTCTTTTCTTCACTAGAGTTAGAGCCAAACGTTCAAATGAGGTCGTATAGAGATCAGAAGGGCAGAAGAAGGGAACAACATTTAATTTTCATCACTGACTTCATTAAACATTCAGTCGTTATACGGCCATGATGTCTCTGAGTGTTTCACAATGCTGTAGTACTAAGGTGATATACAGTGCCTTACAGTGAACCTGTCATAAAAGACAATCAAAACAGAGCTGATGTAATTCACTCCACCTAATGAAAATTAATGAATCTTGTGGCGGATACATACCGTCTTTTTAATACAAGGCACAGAAGTAGCGATGATTTGTGGGAAGAGTTCCAATGTCTCACATATGGACGGCTTTATCATATTTTGGATGAATGTCGTTTTCGTGGTTTTGATATTCTTAGAATTTAAGTTAGAATAGGATGATTCTGAGGCAACGATACAATTGATTTTGCGGATCATCAAACGACTTCGAAGTTGCCACTGATTTCAAAATGGCCGCTGTTTTACAAAAGTACACCTATGATCTATCAGATAAAACGGGGTGTGGAATTACAAATAATACATTTTTTTACAAATAAATCTAATGATGTGTCATCTATTATTCCAAAATTATATTATCAAATGATGAAGTCATTTAAGATTTAAAGCCATTGATTTTAAAAGATTAAAATGCCAGTAGCTGAAATACTCAAATCAAATAACCCTTATTAAATTATTTTTAATAATGTGTAACTTATACAATCAATTTACTTTTCAAGTTGAAAATGGTTTCATGTTGTTTTTTTTCATTTGTCCGGTGAGATTTACTACTCCCCGTGCCAGTTCTACATTTCTACCTTGAATTGCCCTGACTTTGACCGACTTGGAGATAAATGGCTTCATCAATTTACCTAATTATTTCACAAATTATCCCAATCCTTCCATTATACAATCTAGATATAGAATA